CATGCAAAGCAGCCACTGTCTTCAGCTTCTTGCAACCCTGAGAAGGGAAACAGATATAAAATGCAACATTGTTCAGTTTTGTACTGCTGTTATTGCTGGGTGGTTGGAGTTCTTATTTTTTTAATCTACCTGCATTGTTTTTATACGTAGCTAAATCACCTAAAGAGAAGGACAAATCCGATTCCAGTTCATTCAACTTTCTCAGGAGCGCACCGGTTATCTTCTCCACTTCTTCCTCCTTCTGCTGGTCTTTGTTCTGCCCTTCGTACCTTTTTGAAATCACAAGGAGAACCATGTCAGTAAACATTTCTGTGAATTAGATGTTGCTGAAATCCTTCTCCATGTCCGTGCCCCCCAATTAAAATCCAGACATGGTAATTCCTGCTAGGGTTGCCAAATGGTACTCACCTCCTCGGTGGGGGACTCCTGGGGACCTCCCGGTGTGCGCGCAACGTATCTACGTCACCCGGATGTGGCGTCGCACGCTGGGGGCAGGGCCACAGCCATTTGAGGGGAAAACATAGAGTTTTCCCCTAGATGGCTGTCATTTGAGGGGAAAACTCTATGTTTTCCCCTCAAATGGCTGTGGCCCTGCCCCCAGCGTGCGACGCCACATCCGGGTGACGTAGATACGTTGCGCGCACACCGGGAGGTCCCCAGGAGTCCCCCACCGAGGAGGTGAGTACCATTTGGCAACCCTAGCAGGAATTACCATGTCTGGATTTTAATTGGGGGGCACGGACATGGAGAAGGATTTCAGCAACATCTAATTCACAGAAATGTTTACTGACATGGTTCTCCTTGTGATTTCAAAAAGGTACGAAGGGCAGAACAAAGACCAGCAGAAGGAGGAAGAAGTGGAGAAGATAACCGGTGCGCTCCTGAGAAAGTTGAATGAACTGGAATCGGATTTGTCCTTCTCTTTAGGTGATTTAGCTACGTATAAAAACAATGCAGGTAGATTAAAAAAATAAGAACTCCAACCACCCAGCAATAACAGCAGTACAAAACTGAACAATGTTGCATTTTATATCTGTTTCCCTTCTCAGGGTTGCAAGAAGCTGAAGACAGTTGCTGGTTTGCATGCAGGGTGAAGGGGCCTGTATTCAGCAAAAGATCAGCTTTATTCAGCAACTCGTAACTCAACTCCAAACAGATCAACATGAATAGCCAGAACAGCTTTTACATTGCAGCTGTCCTGCTTTTAAACTCTCCCGGCTAATATAGCCACGCCTACTGTACATTTACCAACCAATAAGGTTGTATGCATAAGGACCAATCACGGACATTCCCGCTCAGGGAGCTTGCTGACAAGTGATTGGTTGGTTCTTCCTGGGCTAGCAATGCGATTGGATGGATTTGGATCCTAGCCCAGGACGAAGCTTTACATGGCAATTCAATTATGTTGTTTACATACAGTTATGCATTCAATGGCAGCTATTGAATACATTACAGCAAGCCAACAGCCTTGTAAAGAGATGGCTTTCTAGGCTTCCTACTGCAAAGCCACTCCCATCATTCCTTTCTTAAAAGAGGTTTATGGTGCTCATTGCCTTAAAACGAACTTTCAGTCCTAGGAAAATTGACAATCTTCTTGTCTGACATTTCTAGCCCGCAGCTTCTTCTGAGAAGTCTCCCTCCTCCAATTTTATCATCCTAACAGTCCTTATTATTATTATCATTGTAAGACATTGTGTGTGGTATAGCCAGGAGATCCTAAGATTGTCTGCCAGCTAGAAGTTCTAGCTCTTTTAGTGTTATGCACCACTACGTAGCAAGCTAGACTTATTTTTAAGGCAAGAGATGTGCTGGTTTGCTTTTGCCTGCCTCTGCGTCACTTCCCTGGTATTCCTTGGACATTGTCCTTTCAAATAGTAGCCAAGGCCGACCCTGCTTAGCTTCTTAGATCTGGCGAGATTGGCATAGCCTCGGCCCTGTCAGATAGTGACTAGTTTAAGGTCACCCAGTGAATTTCATGACTGAGCGAGAACACAAAACCAGCTCTCCACCATCCTTGACAACCTTTTAACCACTACACCACCCTAGAATCTTCTAGTCCGCTGAAATCTTTACTTGTCTCCATGGCACACACCATATTAGAACTTCAACCTCCCCCCCCCACCCCGATTTTTAAAAAGTTGAGCAAATAATTTCACCTGCAGCTGTATGTCAGAAGCAAAGTTAAATTATGCTACGTCTGCACCCATAAATCAATGGGGGTCACTGTGCAGACTCGGAGGAGGACGCTAAGTTCTTTTAACCTTTTTATCTTATCTTCCCGAAGAAGGAGCTGTTTTTAAATAGGCTCATTTTATCTCTCTTTTTAACCTTGGGGTTCTTTCTCCCCCTCTTCCTTAAGCTCTGCCAGCTTAATTGGATAATCAAGACTGTGGTTTTTTATACTATCAGACCATTTAGAGGGGGGGGGGCAGCCAAGTAAACATTGCTGTTGATTTACGAAGCTCTACGAAGACAGCTTTTGAGCCGATTAATTTGAATTGTGAATCTAACTGTGAATCTAACTGTGAACTACCCAACTGAGATATTTAACAGCTGTCGAGAGTCTGCCGTTTATTCCAATGGCTCAGAGTGAGGAAATAGTTCGGAAACCAAAGACTGTTGGCTTCCCCCCAAAAAACTGATCCTCTGCCTCCTTCATGCAGGAGGTGCCTTAGGAAAGCCCAGAAAGAAGAAGAAGAGAAGAAGAAGAGACTGGATTTATATCCTGCCCTTCACTTGGAGTCTCAGAGCGTCTTACAAACTCCTTTCCCTTCCCCTCCCCACAACAGACACCCTGTGAGGTAGGTGGGGCTGAGAGAGCTCTGAGAGAACTGTCCTTGAGGGAACAGCTCTGACAGAACTATGACTTGCCCAAGGTCATCCAGCCAGGTGCAAGTGGAGGAGTGGGGAATCAAACCCGGTTCTCCCAGATTAGAGTCCGCGTGCTTAACCACTACACCAAACTGGCTCTCCAGAAAGCAACTCCTTTGTTTTTTTGTTTTTTTAAAAATATTTTATTTTGATTTTTCCGACATACAACAAATAAAACCGTGTAGTTTTTCTTTTACATTTTTGGAGCATCTTATCGATACATTTCTAACCATCTATCTAGTTTCTGCCATCTTTTCTTGAACACACTTTCAAACTTTCCTGCCAATAACGTATTTATTTTATCTATTTCTTTTATGTCCATGATTTTTATAATTAATTCTTCTCTATCTGGTAGCTTATCAGATTTCCAACATTTTGCTATTTCTATTCTAGCACTTGTGAGGATATATAGTATCAAGCGTGCATCATTGTGTTTTACACTATCCGGTAGTATGTTTAGTAGGTATACTTCCGGCTCTAATGATAGATTTACTCCTATTATTTCCCAAATTAATTGTTTTATTTTTCCCCAAAATTTATTTTCCCCCTTTTTGGGCAGAAAGCAACTCCTTTGTGACTGCAGCTGGAAACAGCTGCTTCTGCTGCAGGAAGCCACTTGGCTTAAAACCTGTCGACATTTTGTAATTGGTCCTACACTTGTGGCCACCAATTTGCTGTGCTGCCCCACTAACCTCTGTCCAAATCCCAGAAGTACCCACAGGCTCTGCAAGGCTGGGAGCCCATGTTCTACAACATTTAGAATGGCACACTGAAAAGTCCTGGCAGAAGGCACTCACCTAATGACTCCAAGCCCAGGCCAGCTGAGGTCTTCCACGTAGGACAGCCCAGCCGTTCTTTTCACTTCCTGCTCAAACTCATTTCGCAGCTGGAGCGTACAAGTCAACACCGGGACCTTCATTTTCAAGCAGTCCACCAACTGGTCAATGTCTTGCACTTCAGTTCCTAAAACTGAAGAGCTGGATCCATCAGAAGGGCACATGGCACACATATTAGTATAAACAAAAAAACAACCCTGCTTTTTTCTACGCTTCTTTGTATCGTCTGAAGCACAGCCATCTTACAACCCCCTGTTCTTCTATGTCTTTCTACAAAGCAAAGGCCAGCCTGTCTTAGAAACAAAAGTATCTTTCACCCCCCCCCCCCGCTGGAGACAAGGGAGGACCAGAGGATCGGTGCTGAACGTCAGTTGTTTGTTTGAAGAAGAAGAGAAGAGATTGGATTTATACCCCGCCCTTCACTTGGAGTCTCAGAGGGACTCCTTTCCCTTCCCCTCCCCACAACAGACACCCTCCTGTGAGGTGGGTGGGGCTGAGAGAGCTCTGACACAAACTGCTCTTTTTCAAGGACAGCTGTGCCAGAGCTTGTGACTGACCCAAGGTCACATCAGCAGGTGCAAGTGGAGGAGTGGGGAATCAAACCCGGTTCTCCCAGATTAGAGTCCGCACACTTAACCACTACACCAAACTGGCTCTCAGGAAGAAGCACCTCAGGAAGAAGCACCCCAAAGACACACTGGTTGAGAACGTACAGTTTTTGAAGCCCAGAGAAGGTCTGACAGATGGTCCGCCCTGTCTTATCACATCACAAGCATGCGCAACATGTAAAGAACATGTAATTTTGCATGTTTGTTCTGATGCACTATGGTACCATCAGCTGATTTTTTTGAACAAGGTGTAAGTAGAGATGAAGTGGGGCCTCTTCTCCAAGGAATCTGCTGTAGGAATCCATCACCTGTGGCAATGGAGAGCTCTCTCAGATAATGACCCTGTTTCCATAGGTCTGTTGCTTTGTTCTCTAGCCTGATCTAGGAAACCAGTGTGGGTTCTGCTAATGGCTTGTTATCTGTCTGATGCTGAATACAAACTCTGCTTTGGATGACAGCTTGTTACTGTGCACCTCTGGGAAGCAGGAGGCAGAGTGAAGATCACTTTCAACAGTGCCAATCCAAGTGTGTACTTCATTGCCTGCTGTGGGGTCTGACAAACAGGCTGCAGCTATCCTTGAAAGAGCATTCCCCACAAGAGCCTACCAGCTCAACTTTGGTGTGGCGTTAACCTTTGGAACTACTCTCTGCAGCCACCCCTTTGAGGTAGGACACCAAAACCATTTCCATTCCTAACAACACAAATCAGTCTGACCATTTTTTAAAAAATATGGAACATAACAGCCTTGCTGGATTACACTAGTAGCCCAGCATCCTTGCTTTCACACATGGCCAGCCAGCTAATCCTAGAGATCGTACGAACAGGGGATTTGGAGGCAATAGCTCTTCCCACTCTATGTTACCTGCACACAACATGGAGGGCTCATTTAGGCTATCCTGTTTAGCTATTCCACGTAGGACAGCCTGACTGTTCTGCTTGATCTAGGTAACCATCCTATTTCCCCACAATGGCCCCAGAAAGATCTCACACAGAGGTCACACTCTCTTGTCCCATTGCTTACGCCACCACTGGCCTTGCAGCTTCACTGCCGAGCCCCATGAGGGGCCCGGCGGTGGACCTGCAAGGCCGGCGGGGGTGCAAGGAAGCCCCGCAAAGGCCCTCCCTGGCCCCAGGCAGGCAGGGGTGGGGAGAGGCAGGGAGGAAGCAACTTACCCTCCCTCTTCTCCTGCCTCCTCCTGGCTGAATGAGGGCCAGAAGCGGGGCGGCCAGAAGCAGGGGGCGGGGCTTCGTCATGTGCCCAGCCCCCCGTACCTCACCCGGGGGAACTGTGATCCCCCGCGATCCCCCCCGAAATGACCTCTGACTGTTTCTCAAAAAGTTCTATTCAGACACCACAGTCAACAGTGACTGATGGACCCATTCTTCCCCACACACGTCTTTAGTCCCTTTTACAAGCCACCCAAGTCAGTGGTTATGACTTCATCCTGAGGCAACCAAGCTCAGGAAGTTACTTGTGCGTTGCATGAAACTGTAGGTCTTCTGCCCGTCAACTTCCTTGGCTGCTCTAAAGTTCCCGTAGTTTGGGAGAGGAATAAAAAGTTCTCTACTCAGCTGGCCAAACAAAATGAATCTCTGACTTTCCTCCCTAGTAACCCTGGGAATGAAAACTTAGTGACTGCTCCATTCCCTACTCTAACCCTAATCAGAGTTCCAGTTTCCGTGGCTCATTTGGGTGAGGAGGCCATTGTAATGAAAGGCTTCACTCTGGCATCCAACTAGAGAATCTAGACTAAACAATTTTAAAAGGACTTTTGCCTATTCAAGCAGTTTAATAGCAGAGTTCTCCGGAATTTATTAAAGGCTCTTTATTGATCTTTAAATCTAATAATACAAACAAGTAAGGTCCAGAATTTATTACAGGCAGGGCTATTTTGGGGCAGGAACACACAGGAACGGAGTTCCGGCTGGCTTCAGAGTTGGCCACGCCCACTACAGCCAAAACCTCTGCACTACAGAGGGAAGGCCTGGAGAGCGGCCCCCCCCCCCGGCGACTCCAAGGTGGGTGGGCCAGAGGGCCCCTGGAAGGATAGGGGAGGCATTTAAATGCCTCCCCATGCCTTCCCCGGCCTGTCCAAGGGCTGTCTTGCCCAGGCTCCCCACAGCCGCCAAGGAAAGGCACAGGGCGTGGCCTAATATACTAATAGGCTGCACTGTCAGGGTGTGGCATAATATGCTAATGAGTTTCTGCTGTTGGGTGTGGCCTATTATGCTAATGAGTTCCTGCTGGGCTTTTTCTACAAAAAAAGCCCTGATTACAGGCTCTATCAATCTTTAAATCTAATAATACAAACAAGTAAGGTGAGAGTCCGGTTCTTTCTTTCTTACTATTTTTACGTTTGCGTGTGTGTGTACTTGCGAGCCTGGAAGTCATAGTGAAGTCCTAGTGGAGCTAGCACATTTTAGAGAGATGCTTAATAACCTATCTCTGCAATCTGGCCCTGGTATTCCTTGGAGGTCACCCTTCCAAGTACTTGCCAGGGTTGGCCCCGCTTAGTTTCTGAGATATGACGAGATTGGGTTTGCCCGGGCTATCCAGGTCAGGGCCTATGAGTTTGGTATTTTGAACTATAACCAGCAAACCAGACTGAAAACCTGTAGAGATCCCTATCTTCCATTGAAAAAAGAAACAGCTCTCTTTATTATGCAAAACAGGCAGGTAAAAATTAATTACTGTCATTCATTCATTCATTCATTTATTTTATTACGGTCAGAGACCCATTAAACAGCATACAGAATATTAATTACTGTAAAAATAAGTGCTAAAATTATCAGTTTCTAACGTGGCTTAATCATATTATAGTGAGTAATAACTGTAAAAGCAAGCCAGGTTTCATGTTTTTGTCTCAATGATTTGAGAGATTATCAACACCATCCAGAAATCTCAACTAATCTTCTGAGATTTCCATCCAGAGAAATCTGATTTGCTTATTATGATAGTGCATATTTATAGACAAATATCAGTATTATATTTTCTAAATCTCCTCTATCTTAATCATGGGGTTACTATCTAGATAAGTGATTAAAGGTAAAGGTTCCCTTGCTCGAAAGACAGTCGAATCCGACTCTAGGGTTGCGGTGCTCATCTCTGTTTCAAAGCCGAAGAGCCAGCGCCACCCGAAGATGTTTCTGTGGTCATGTGGCCGGCATGACTAAACACCAAGGCGCACGGAACGCTGTTACCTTCCCACCGAAGTGGTACCTATTTATCTACTTGCAATTTCTTGCTTTCGAACTGCTAGGTTGGCAGGAGCTGGAACTAGAGATGGGAGCTCACTCTGTCATGCGGCACCCGGGTCTCGAACTGCTGAACTACTGACCTTCCACAGCCTGCAGTTCAGCGTCTTAACCACTTGAGCCACTGCAGCTCCAGTGATTAGTGATTAGCTCTTAACTAAACAGAGAAAATCAACACGAGTGTAAATGAGGAAAAGTGCATATGACTTACATCTGATAAAGCAAAAGAAAAGGGGAAGGGGACAATCAACATGGGGACTTCAATGAAGAAGAGAAAACAGCGGGGGCCCACCTGGATAGGACAGGTCAAACAAAGGTACAAGGCTAAAAGTGCCTATATACCAATGCCAGTAGTATGGGTAATAAGAAGGAAGAGCTTGAGATTCTCTTGCAAACAGAGGGCTATGATATAATGGGAATCACTGAGATTTGGTGGGATGATTCTCATGACTGGGATGT